GGCCCTGAGGGGTAGAAGCCCACAGTCCAAACACAAAGGCCCTCTGTGCTCTAAGGATTCCTATTGCCCTACGTCGAACGTTTAGGGTTTAGGGGCTTAGGGTTTTAGGGTTCAGGGGTTTAGGGTTTTTGGGTTTAGGGTTTTGGGGGTTTCAGGGTTTGGTTTTTGTTTGTGGCTGTTGTTTAGGGTGGGTTTGGGGTCTTAGGGCGTTAGGGTTTTGGTGTTTAGGGCTTTAGGGTTTGTAGGGTTATAGTTCCGCAGTGAGCATACGACGGCTCTTGCGCCCAGCACTCCGCTTTTGGGTAATTTTCCCTATGTCGTAGTAAGACACCGCATGCAACTTTGACCTCTCTTTAGACAGCCCCAAACCAGAGCTCTCCGCCCAGGATTTTGCTGGCTGCAGGGGGTTGGATTTAGAATCGGGGTTTCATGTTCATTGAACCAAGCACTACATCTGCACCACTAAAGAAGAAGCCTGACCAATTATCACTACGATTGCTGGGGGCTCCTTATCATACTGTAAACATACCCCCAAACCCTGCTCGAAGCATTAAGGCCGCTGTATGACTCTTGCAAGACTTGCAGCTCACCGGCTTGACATGAAAGACTCGCCCCTTACTCAGATGTGGCGCGCTGCCTCCGCTGACGACGGCAAGGGCGACTTTCGCAACACTGTCAGACGAGAAGAGCATTAAGGCTCACCACCTTCGGGGCTTCCGCGGTAGTTCCTTTGCTGGTTTGACCAGTTTTGTGCTGAGAATCCTACAAGGTAGGCCCCCAAAAGGAGCTGGAATGGAGACTATAGGTATTGTGGGGTGCCTATCACACATATATAGGGTATCAGGGTTACGAAGAGTTTCAGCTTTTCTGGGTTTTTTGGGGCAGCTGCTACTTGTACCGCTGCTGCGCCTGCTACCGCTACCGCTACTTGTGCCGCCACTGCTACGGCTACTGCCAGTTGTACCGCTGCTGCCACCGCTACCACCATACTGCTGCTGCTGCTGCTGCTGCTGTTCGTGTCGCGAGTATTGATGCTGCTGAGATACTAGTGCCACTGAAGGCACGAGGCGGAACGAAGATGATTTTTCTGCCCTCAACAGCAAGATCGACAATGGCGTCTGGTAGTCTAGAAACTAGGGGTCAGCAGCGCCGCCGCCCTCATAGTCGTCATTAAATACGCAACAGTATCCGTGCCTGGACTAGTTAGGGCACCGTCGCAGGCTTCTCATCCCAGAGAGTATGCGGTCTGGAAGAAACTCGATCGGGACTTCGATGGCTACCTCAGCCACGCCGAGATTCGAGCGATGTGCCCTGGAGCCCGGGTTTTCAAGAAGAGCCGTGCATAAGGCGGTTGAGTTCAAGTCCTGGACTGAAGGGCTCCAAGGTAGTTACCTTTTTGGGTCTGTTATGGTTTTTTGGGAAGGGAAAAAAGTATACTATCCAAAAAGGAACTACATAGGAGCCCTTGGGTATGCTTAAAGGAGGAAGACGGCAGCTTCGGCTCCAGTATGTCAGTATGTGTTTCTTTTGCTTCTTCGATTTGTGGATAGGGTTCTCTGATAGTGGGAAGGCCCGATGTGGTTCAGAGCAGTCTGGGTTGAAGGCGGAGGTTTCGGGTTTAGGGTTTAGGGTTTAGGGTTAAATCTTGGCATCTAAGGCCTTTTCTGCATTCCTTGATTTCAGTTACCATCACAAAGCCTTAGCAAGCACCCTTTCCGCAAAGGAACCTGTGCTGAAGCCGCTGTTGAGGTGCCGCAAGTTCGACGCAACAGAGCATGCAGGCGTGCTGATCCGGATCTTGGATCCCGACAACCAGGGGCAGGCTCGATCCTGCTCAAAGGGTCCTATGTACCTATCTATCTATATATATATATATATATAGAAAGTAGGGTTTCTATATTAGGGATGACTTTTATGGTTGAAGTGACTCAATTCAGGAATCGTGCAATATTGCATGATCCTGCTCAGAAGCGCTTATATATGTAAGGAATATGGCGAGAAAAGGCGCAAAGAAGCTGTGTAGAAGGTTGTGAATATGCCTGAACTCGCATTCGGAAGCCCAGCGTGTTTATAGAAGTAGGCGGAAGTGTTATTTACATCATCATAGAAGCCCTTTACAGTTGCAGGAAGAGGCCCTTGTTAAGACAGTTTTCGGTGTAAGATGCCGCAGTTTTCCGTTTAGGTTTTACGGCTCAGAGCTGTTAGCTTGCAGAGTAGAGCAACTGAGCACAATGTTCTTGAGCAGCAAAACCAGGCCTCCAGCAAACTGCCAGCATACTACACATTGAGGGGTTTGGGCACGGATCACCTACTGTCAGAGCGGTTGTTCATATCAGATAGAACGCTTGGTACACAGACCGTCCAGTACTTAGCGGGCTGAATTACAAGTAGTATTATCCCACCGTCGCGTTTCCTACCAAAAACATGCTCCCCAACCTTAGCCTGATTCATGAGGCCTCTATATCTGCATCTATCTATCTATCTAGCTAGCTAGCTAGCTATCTATCTATCCATCTATCTATCTATCTATCTATCTATCTAACTATCTATCTGTCTATCTATCTATCTATCTATCTATCTATCTATCTACCACACATCTGCGTTTATGTGTGTATATATATATATATATATACACACATAAACATTAAAAACATACCAAGCTCGAAGATGCAGAGAAGCCCTTGGGAGGTGGACCTGGCCCGGTTCTGCTCGGGCCCCGGCGTCGGCGTTCAGCCTGGGTTTAGGGGTTTAGGGTTTAGGGGTTTAGGGTTTAGGCGTTTAGGGCTTAGGGTTTAGGGTGCAGGGTTTAGGGTTTAGAGTTTAGGTTTAGGGTTCAGGGCTTAAGGTTCAGGGTTTAGGGTTAAGGCCACAAGTGTAGCCCAGTGTTTCCCAAAGGGTCCTAGGTACTGTGATGGGGGGATACTTCCCTGAGTCATAATTGTATATTCCTGATCTAGAAACCCTACATTCCACTATGTAGGTACATAGGACCCTTTTGGGTTTTGAGGGTTGTGCACCCGACTCCTTTGGAGCTGGGACCCGCTATTCCGCCTTCAAACATCCAACCCAGCCAGATGACAATGCAGCTGTTTCCTCCTGGCCTTTTCTCCAGCCATCAAGACACTTCTACAGGGCCCTTATCAAGCCTTAATACCAAACCAAAGTTAAAGAAACCTCGACCCCTTAAAGCCTTAAAACCCTACACAAATCCTCTCGGAACCCGCATCGAACCTAGATAAACGTCCATACAGATCAATCGCTTCAAGGCGAGCAGTTCTCCGCCGTCCAGATGGTCCGCAATTCCGCGCGGCTGAAGCACCGGAGCTTACGTTGTTAGGGCTTATGGGGCTTAGGATTACGGCCTGCGGCTAAGAGTCTCAAGGCTTAGCTTTGCTGGGCTTTATGCTGCATCGACAGTACTGCTCGGGTTCTTTCTAAAAGACTTCCTAAAACCCAAAACCCAAGCCCTAAAGCCCTAAAGCCCAAAACCCAAAACCCTAACTTATCGGCAACTGGACTCCAGTCCAAGAGCTGGCATAGTGCATTCAAAGACGTCGGCGGCAGCCACTCTCCTTGGGCCTTACTTTATGTCGGAGCCTCAGGGGTCAGAATAAGTAGACTACATGATTCCTTTCAAGGATTCCTTAAGAAGGGTTTCATACTGTAGGGGTCCATCATACAATTTCCACAGGCTCCTGAAGGGTTTAGATTTGGGGCTTGAGGGTTTAGTTGTCTGGGGGTTTAGCGGTGAGGGTTTATGGATTGAGAGTTTAGGGGGTTCAGGGCCTTGGGGTTAAGGGTTTGGGTTCAGGGTTCAGGGGCTAGGGACGAATCAAACTTCTGGTGGTTTCCAACCCTGCAGCGGTTCAGAGGTTCAGCATGTTGGTGCCAAGGAATACAGCTCTTGTGCTGTAGGTGTGGGACTGCGCTCTTGCAAAACATACACACTGAAAGGCAAATACGTACACACTTTATATACAATAGCTGCACCCTAAAGGCGCTGAAAGTGATGGGAGTCCCTGCACACTCCAGATGAAAGCAGGTTACCTGGGCTCTGAATCCTAAACCCTAAACCCTAAACCCTAAACCCTAAACCCTTATAAACTCAATCCTCCGATAGTCCGCCCAATTAGCAAGGCACTGGCATCGCACCTTTGGTCTGGGTGTGGCCGGGAACGTTGCAGGATTCCTGGCGGAATGGCTAGCAGGTTTTGGGTTTAGGGTTTAGGGTTTAGGGTTTAGGGTTTAGGGTTTAGGGTTTAGGGTTAGGGGTTTCTGAGAATATGAAATCTTTATGGCCCGGCAGCACCCATGGTTTGACCATTGGAGGCCCTTCCCTTAGGTGATCTTGCAGTTTTGAGTGTTGAAGGTTTCAAAGGGCTCCAAGGGTGGGATAAGGTATTCACCCTAAACCCTAGACCCCAAAGAAAACCTTAGACCCTAAGCCAATAAGAGTCCTTAGATAAGGGCCCCTAAATCCCTTCCGAGGCCTCCGCGGGTTTGGGGTCTCTGGAAAATACTAGCTCATACATCCCTCGCGACGAGAATTACGATTCCTTCTAGAGCTGTAAATCCTGAATCGTATCGACACTTATCCCAAGGCTCTCCATGCGTTTATCAAACTCCAGCCTGAAGCTGAACTCAAGATACCACTAGATATCCACAGCCCCGAAATTCCAATCCCTTTGCCAAGAAGCCCTCAACCCTCTAAGCTCAAAACATTTCTGGGTCCTTGTTGGCTACCATTTTACATTTCAAGTTATAATAAAACCCAATAAGGATTCACAAATGAACATCTTTTAGTATAGTCCCCTAAACCCTAAACACTAAACCCTAAACCTAAACCCCAGTCGCAACAGGGAGCCAGATCTCCCCAAAGCCCAAAACCCTAAACCCTAAACCCTAAACCCTAAACCGCGGAGGCCACATGGCGCAAGCCGGCGAAGCGGACCCAGATCAGGCGCCGACAGAGACTGGGCGCCGGAGTCCCCGCGGTGCTTTCTGAAAACTCGTCTTCTGTTGCGTTTAGGGTTTCGGGTTTCCGATTTAGGGTTTAGGGTGTATAGGTTTTGCCACGAATCTTTGGCAAGAGCAGCTTAGATTTGTGTTAAACCGTGTTTGGAGGTTGATTCTCTGCGCAAGCAACAGCTTATGAGTTCCTCTCACCTTTGCTTGGCATTTGGTTGAGCCTAAGCCCCTATAAAGCCCTTCATCACTGAACCGTCACAAGACTGGCAAGACCCTTCGCACGGGACCGAGTACCTTAATTGTGGTTGGCTCAGAACCCAGGAAATGCCGCCCGCCGTCTTCACTTTTTACGTGCCTTCACCTGCAGTCGAGTCAGGCTTTTGGGGTTCTGGGTTCCTTTTTCATGTACATGTTTGCTCATAAGTTTTTGTGATGGGATTTTCCTAAGATTTGACATGTTACAGGACTTTGTTAGTTAGCTCTTCTTCGAAATCTTTGCTGTTTTAATGCCGTAAATGCACCTCCCAGAAGCAACATCGCTGTTCCGGAACATGCTTGCTGCCATTAGGCACGGATACAACAAGCTCCCTTAGAGCCTTGGAGCCTTGCTTCAAGGCCGGTTTGGCCCAAGTTCGTCTGCTCACATATGGACCGGAAGCTCCGCGCATAGGCTCCATTGTAGTTCCTTCTTGTGGTTCATTTTGAGGTTTCTATAAGGCAGTGCCTAAAAGGAACTGCAATGGAGCCTATGGGTACACCCTAATGTCCAAGGCGCCGCATCCCCACACAGTGGATGCAACTGAAGACGAGACTGGGACCTCTTGGGAATAAAGCTTGATTCTTTAGTCCTTGGTGTATGTATCCCAAAGGGTCCTATGTGCCTATATAGTAGAATGTAGGCTCTGTATATTCGAGTTATACTATTATGGTTGACGTAATTATCCTCCATAACGGTACGTAGCACCCTTTGGGTATATATATATATATATATAGCCCATACAAGCGCATAAGGGATAACTGATTTCCTTAAAGGAACCCCACAATTCGCCGAGGAGATCTTGCAGCGGCTGGAAAACTTCCCGGTCACGAATGCTGTGATTGACTTCCCCAGCTTCCTGGCTGCAGATTTTGGGACCTCGACTTAGGGTAGGGTTTAGGGGTTTACGGGTTTAGGGGTTTGGGGTTTAGGGTTTGGGGGGCTGAATGGGCTTTAGCCCTTTGGGGCTTTTGGGGTTTAGGGTTATATGGTCCCTATAAACCCTAAACCCTAAACCCTTGACCTCTTTTGGCTCCAGGGTCTTCTCAGCCCTTGAGGGAATCGGGCCTGGGTTTTGGAGCATGGGTTTAGGGTTTAGGGTTTAGGGTTTAGGGTTTTTGTGGCTTTTGGCTGTGAGATGCCGTGTTTAAGGGTCTACCCGACACTTGAACTCGGGAACCCCAACCCCAACAGCTACAGGGTTTAGGGTTTGGGGTCTAGGATCTAGGGTTTAGGGCTTAGGGTTTAGGGTACCCCACCCCACAAGGCGGCCCTACATCCTAAACCCTCAACCCTAAACTCCAGATCCGATAAGCCGGAGGCTTTCCTGTGATCCCCTCGTAAAACAAGGCCCTAAACTGCAAGGTTTAGGGTTTGGGGTTCAGGGTTTAACTGTAAAGCCTAAGCCCTAAACCCGAAACCCTAAACCCTTGACATAGGGGCCTTAAGAATTAGAATAGGGTTTGGGGTGATATACTACTGTAATCATAAGAAGCAACCCCCCAACCTGTATAGGCAATTTTTCAGGGCCCCAGACCGCACCAGAAGTCAGGACAGGGTGGCAATGTCCAGGTCGAGCCGGAGATGGGTCTCTATTGTGACATTGTCTACACCAAGGCATCCGGTTTCGGGTTTTGTTTAAGGTCTTGGCTATTACGCATTAGGGTGTAGGCTTCGTGAGTTGCGGTATATGTCGGTTTCGGGTTTTTGTGTAGCAGACTTATTGCGATTTCACCTAAATGAAGGTACAACTGCAAGGTTTCGACATTTTGCTGCGAAGGCTTTGAGTTGAAGGTTTCGGGATAGTACAAGGTGCCTGAATAATTGCCTATACCATGTTGGGGGGGAGGTGTTCCTTATTATACTTGTAACATAAAAAACCTATTCTGATTATGAAGGCCCCTTGAATGGAGTCACGAAGCTTGTGCGGCTTTGGGGTCCTAGAGTGTGCAGGGTGTAGGGGGCTCGGTAGTCTCCATCTACATCTGCATAGAACTAAACACTACCTATAGTCTCCATTGTAGTTCCTTTTTGGGGATACCTTATACAATCCTTAATATAAGATTGGTTAAACCAGAAAAGGAACCACAATGGAGACCATAGGTAAACCTAAACTGTTGAAGTGATGGCTCTGCCATTA